AAGAATGCTTATTTTTCCTCATCAGATGGTTATCAATTTTTATAATTCATATGATGTGATTTTCTGGAATTTTCTTTGGGATTCTGTCTCTCACTGTTAGAATGTACATATGATTAAAGTTATAGATCGTTGCATTCTTTGTAAGTGGGCAAACCTGCAAAATCATTTAAGAATATTTTTAAAATCACGAATCACTGATCAGAAATATGAATTTTCCACCATCTAGGAATCTAGAATTTTTTAAATCTAAAACACAATTCAGAAGGCTGCGAATAGAAAAATGTTTTAACATATAATTTCATAAATGAATGCCAATGATGTGTTTCCTATTTGAAATGTGATTTTGCATGTCTCCACTATTAGGTTTTATATAATGTAATAAGAGTTGCTTGTTCCATATTCAATGTTAAAGCAAAATTTGTTTGGTTCCATAATAAAAGGTTCATTTGTTTAATCTTGAACCGTGGCTTTGTATAGGTTTTACATTTTGGCCCCCTGAGTTTTGGAGTTTGATGTAAGAAAGAGGAAATGGAGGACATTAGCATTTATATGTTTTATAACAGTTAAAACCTGTAAAATGATCTCTTCTCAGGTTGAATCTCTTCCTGCCTCAGTAGAAAACCTGGTGTGATACTTATTTATCCATCTACTTTAGCATGAAAACCACATGACACTGTTCAGCCAAACTAAGTATTACTGGAGCTTTTTGGCCTTTTGTGGAGGTTAAGTTAAGTTAAGTCTACAATCACCATAAAACCCAGAGTTTTGGGGCTTTTAAAGCAGTTTTTTATGGCTTTTAAAGCAGTTTTGTAGGGGTTTTTAAAGCTGTTTTTTGTGCTTTTAAAACTGTTTTTTGGGGGGCTTTTAAAGCTGTTTTTTGGCCTTTAAAGCTGTTTTTGTGGCTTTTAAAGCAGTTTTTTGGAGGGCTTTTAAATCTGTTTTGGTGTCTTAACCCTATAATCCCAAATGTGTCATATCTGATCCGGTTTCTTTTGGATGTGAGACTTTCTGCATCATTCAGTGGTAAAAGCTTTGCTCAAACCCCTGTTGTACACATTCAGATATACCTGATAACAGCCAGTAGAAGAC